GTGTGAGAGCGAATGGATGGGACACCGGACTGACGAGGACCTGACGCAGTTTCCCATTTAGATCTGAACTCTCGATCCTGTCCAGGTGGGCATCAACCCAGAAGATTCTAAGGCCACATCATTAAAACAGATGAGACCATGGGTTTTAAAACATTATCATGGGTTTGACACCTAATTCAAATCATCACCATCACCAAGTATCATCAGGTGTTTTCCCTCTGACCTGCGTATGTCGTAGTCCAGTGTGAGTCCATTGGGCCAGCCCAGGTCAGTGTTGATCAGGACTTTTCTTTCAGAGCCGTCCAGGTGAGAACGTTCGATCTTTGCAATGTGACCCCAATCAGTCCAGAACAGGAACCTGTAGACATGGGACAGAACCATTAAGGACTCATGTGCTTTCCCTTATTCTGCCCTAACAATATCTGGTTTGCAGCCCTAAACTTGGACACATAATTTTACAGCATTTACTCACCCTTTGCTGGGAAACACTGCGATGGCTCTTGGTTCATCCAAACTGTTGTTGATGAGGACTTTGCGGCCCGTTCCGTCCAGGCGGGCCACCTCGATGGTGTTACGTCCAGTGTCTGTCCAGTACATGTTTCTGGCCACCCAGTCCACGGCCAGTCCATCAGTGGTCTTCAGGCCGTTGCTGATCACCGTCTCCATGTTACTGCCATCTAAGTTTGCATGTCTGTGTAGGGATGGATGTTGGGAATAAACATTAAAAAAATCTATCTTAGATTAGAAGCTACAATACTTAATCATCATGTAAATGATCATTTTATGCATCTTATTGTATCATAAGATGAACAATTCATCAATGTGTTTTGAACTCTTACATTTGCAGCAATTTGTCAATACACTATATGAATATCTTAACTTCAGCATTTACATTTTTGTTTGCAATTTTTCACCTTATAACATCTAAGGTGACATCGGTGTAATAAAGTTTCGCATCCACACTATCGTAATCCAGGGAGATGACATTGTGTAGATCAGGCACAGGAACGTGGACGTCGGTGTGGTCGTTGGTGTCCAGGGAGATCCTGCGCACACTAACACGGTTGGAGAAAACCAAGAATGTCTCTGGAGAGTCATCACATGACTTGCCGTCTCCTTTGAGCAAGATGCCAGTTGGACAGGCACAGGAAGTGCCGTTGGGACGAGGAAGGCATAGGTGGGTGCAGCCTCCGTTCCTTTTGCCACATTTGTTGAAACCTGACGAGGTTAAAGAAATGTTGTACTGCATGTCTCAAAGAGATAAAAGAATTTTTTAATTCTTGTTCTCAGAGTTACCCAGTGGCTTCTCTCTGTCCACAGCCTGAATGTCCATCAGGCCTGGCAGGTTGGCTTGAACCGTGATAGTGTTGGCACCGGTGTTCTTGTCAGCTCGCTGGATGCTTCGGCTTTGCCAGTCAGTCCAGTAGATGTAGGAGCCAAGCAGGGTTAAACCATAAGGGTGCTGGACCGGAGTCACAAGGGTGTGTCGATTCTGTCCATTCAGGTCAGAGGCCTCGATACGCTGGAGAGAAACACAGAGAAAATAAAAGTTTAAAGGATCTGCAGTAAAACTTTCACTTTAGAATTGTGGCCAATATTGCAATGAGTTGAAAAATTCAGGGCTGGGCACAGGCCATGAAAGTACTACAGTACCTTTTTTTGAATCATTACAAGTGGAGGCACAGCAGGCGAGTGTACTGTTGTTTCCTGTCCATTGTGTTAAGCTGACCTCAGACGACTAAATGCTACTGTGTTATCACAGAGTTGGTTCTGAGGACTGGACTCTTTCTTATCACCTTTATTTCAAAACCTTTCAAACCATGGGTACATTATAAAATCAATTTTACTGACAACAGCACTGACCTCTGTGTGAGCATCAGCCCACAGTAACTGTGAACCTGCCATGTCAATGGCCAGGCCGTTGGGCCACCCTAGATTATTGCTGATGAGGACCATGCGATCTGACCCATCCATGGCAGAACGTTCCAGCTTAGCGTGCTCCCCCCAGTCTGTCCAGTACATGTAGCTGGGGGTAAAATTGGAAAAAGACAAACGTCAAACATCAATACAAGTCCAGATACACAGTAACGTAATAACAATCAGGATAAAAAAAAAAAAAATTTGATTTCAATAACATTACCCCATCTCATGGTACAAAGCGATGGCTCGGGGACTGTCTAGGTTTTGCCAAATCAGAACTTTCCTCATGGAGCCATCAAGGTTGGCAACCTCAATGCGATTTGTTCCAGTGTCAGTCCAGTAGATTTTTCTGCCCCGAGCATCAACTGCCAAGCCGTCAGTCGTCACCAACCCTGCAAAGAGAGAAAAAAGATGTTTCAAGGCAAGAGCTGACGAACGACTGAGTTCCTGTCAGAATCTGAAGGTACATCCCTCACCTGTAGATATGATGTCTTCGTGTTCCGATCCGTCGATGTTAGCTCGGCTGATTTTCTTTAATGTGCTGTCTGACCAGTACACTTTCACTGTCAAAGGCAAAACACATTTTTTAAATTTCTGGTCATTTGTTTTTCTACAATCTATCAGTCACACACACCTTCTCTGGGGTCAACACCAATAGCAATAGTGTTTTTCATGGAGGTGTTAACAGCCAAAACCACATCAGCAAAGTACGGTATGTCCAGAGAAACCATCCTGATGTCCGTCCTCCGCGCAAAAATCAGGAAGCTGTTCATTCCTGCGTGAAGACATTCACAGGTTTTTGGTTTTTCCTGGTGATTGCTGACAGTTGTTTTCTGGTCACATTGTGTTGACTGTTTATTTTCATCATGGGTTCTTTGATACCTGGCATGCAGGTCTTTCCGTCCGATTGCAGGTTGATCCCGGTGGGACAGGAACAGCTCGAGGCTTTCGGAGCCGGAGCCAGGAGACAGAGGTGACTGCAGCCTCCGTTATTCACTGCACAGGGGTTAGGCACTGCACAGAAGGACACGAACACAATCAGCTTCCCGGACTCACCCACACTTTCCAGGTCGGCTTAAAGACGTAAACACATGTAGAAAGTGAAAGCTCTCAGAGGCCAGGAGAGCCCCCACATATCAGTGTGGTTTCATTCTGGTGTGAACCCCTAAGGCTCTCTATCCTTTCAACTAAAGATCTGGGTTCGGTTTACCCCTAATCCTTCTAGTGTCAGCAAAGACACTGAATCTAAGCTGAGAGAAAGCAGCGAAGATCAGATGTGATTTTTTTTCTTTATCTTTGTAACAAGAGACTTGACAAGCTCTGAACAGTACAGAAGATTTACAGTACATGCTGTAGCTGTAAGAAGTTGCATGGCTTGACTTTTCTGTCATTTTTGTATGGCAGCACTAGTCAATTTAGAAACCGAGTTTCACATGTAGCGTAATAACAATAGAATAACGCTCCTACAGTAAGTGTCAACATATGAGCATTTAAAAACATATTTTAAAGTTAAAGCCAACAAAATAAATAAGCGAACCAAGCTAATAATTAAAATGAAAAATAAAAATGTGTGTTTTGTACGGGAAATATTTCTATACAATATGTAAAATGGTTAGCTAAAACTACCTAAACAGACTGGAGTAATCACCGCATCAGTTCAGACCCACAGTGTTGTTGAAACAGAACACTTATTGTCAGTGTTCTACGTGCTGAAACATCAAACACACAGACCTGTCTCACGGTGTCTGTGGAACATGTGAATGTCCATCAGGTTCTCCAGGTTCTCAGCCAGCGTGTGTCGCCCTAACCCGGTGAGCTTGTCAGCACTCTGGATGCTTTTGGACTGCCAGTCTGTCCAGTACAACTTGTCCTCATGTACAGTCAAGCCAAAAGGGTGAGGCAGCTGGCTGCCAATCAAAACCTGGACACAAAAACCAGATGAAGACTGAAGAGAACAGTATATATTCATAATGCAACTTCAGCCTAAACATAACAATGGCAGTCCAAAGGTCAAGTCACCCTCACCTGTCGGTCAGAGCCATCAAAGTTGCCAAATTCAATAGTCTTCATGCCGGCATCAGCCCAGTATAGGCGTTTAGTCTCGTAGTCAATTGCGAGCCCGTTGGGCCACGTCAGATTAGATGAGATGATGACAATTCGATTTGAGGCGTCCATTTCTGCTCGCTCGATCTTTGGGTTGGCTCCCCAGTCAGTCCAATACATGAAGCTACGAGAAATAAAATTAAAAAATTTGAAAAAACAATAATATAAATTGTAATGATTTAATCTCAAATATCTCACCCTCCAATCGGGTCCACAACAATGTCCCTGGGTCGGTCCAGGTTCTCCCATATCAGAACGGTCCGCATGCTCCCATCTGCATTGGAAACCTCAATACGGTCTGTTCCTGAAGATCCAAAAAAACATGATGTTGTGGCTACTGGGATTTCACACATGAATTTATTTAACAACATGGAATAGTGGGCTCTTTACCAGCATCAGTCCAGTACAGCTTGTTGGTCACCCAGTCAATAGCCAGACCTGCAGGGCTCTCCAGACTGGTGTCCACAACCACCTGGTAAAAACAAAAGGAATGGCTTAGAATGTTTACTTAACCTAAGACCTTAATGTTGCTTCCGTATTCTTCCAGTAGATGGCGGTATTGGATAATTCTCACTTCAGTATAATTCTACTCCTGTTCTCATCTATTCAATAGAGGAGAAACAACAACTCTGGTACTTCAGAGTTAGGGGTCGGCCTGAGTTCCTGTGACCACTGACCTCTTGCCTAGTGCCGTTCCACAGGGCTCTGTTGATAGAGTCAGTGGTGACGTCAGTCCAGTAGATGTAGCCATCTTTGGCGTCCCAGTCTAGTGCCACAGCGTTGCGAACGTCAGCCAGAGGGATGACGTCGTCAGACATCTCCTCTGTGTCGAAGCTGACTCGTCGGATGTCCGTCCTTCGGGCAAAAAGCAGGAACTTATCAAGACCTGATTAAAGACCAAAGGTCTTCTGTCAGTCTTCTAGCTTTAACAGTGGGGGTCAACAGTAAACACAACAGAAACAACACAAACACCAAGCAACTCTGACAAGAAAATATCTATATACACACTTCTAAATGTATATATTTATTATATTATAAATAAAACTATATATAGATATCATGACTAAAGTACTTTTTTTGTTTTTTTTTTAATTCACATAATAAAACATTTACTATTTAAGTACACAATCATTTAAAATTGCAAAAGATAAAATTACTTCTTATTTATCACAAAGTATTTTATTATGCTTTATTTTCTATTTCCACATAATATATATACTGCATAAAGTATCAACTGATGAAACAGGTGTGTTCTGCAGGACTTACCGGTGGCACAGTTGTGTTGGTCCACCTTCTTGAAGCCAGTGGGACAGGCACAGGTGTACGTCTTGTTGCTGGGGAGACACAGGTGGCTGCAGCCTCCGTTGTTGCTGCCACAGCGGTTCCTTCCTCCTGCGTAGGGCAAACAGAAATGCATAAGAGAAGTGTTGTTTGAAAATGCCGCCAAGCTGGCTTTCAGTGAAAGGCTGTTCTGTGAAACACGTACAGAAGGAGGTTTCAGAAGAAAATTATTACACTTCGTTAAAAATAAAAATAAAAATAAATCAAAGCTTGTTTGTTTTGATAGGCCGTGATTAAACCCCGTACTGTAGATTCATTTCACAGCAGGATAATTTTGACAGCAGCCAACATTTGCACACCAACCTCATTGTGCATTTAATGGTTTGAACCCAATGCTTAAAAATAAATTATGACATAATTGAAGAGGTTTTGTTGTTTTTAGGAATTCTTTAGCTCTATGGGGATTTTTTTGTTGTCAATTATCGGCTTAAATGCACAGTTTTGTAACTGTGGTCTCCCCTGACAGCGTTATGATCACACATTACAGTTGAACAAGCTCTGTTCCTCAGTGTTGGTCATCGATATATCACAGAGAACACAATTATTTCACTTAAATCTCTTTTGCTTTGTTTAACTGATGAGTCTCAAGACACACAGGTCTCTGATTATCAGCCAGCACTGAATAAAAAGGACTTTCTTCCCTTGGCCAGAGACAGCCTGTTGATACTAGCGTCAGGCTGTGTTTTAGCAGCACGACAGCCAAAACTTTATCTTGGCCTCGACTCAAGCTCAACATTTTCTAGTGTGTAACCAGAAACACTGATCAGTGGAGTCAAAGAGATAAACTGGTCATTTCAACACAAGCTCCAACTCTCCAGTGGAAAGAAAAATCCTCCCAGGGTTCATCACCACATGAGAAAACTTTTCTGTGTGTGCAATGATACCCTTTAAAGAATGTTCCAGAGCGTACCTCTGTCTGTCCTCCCCCAGCTCCTCTTTCACCCCCTAACCAAGAGCTTTTAGGACGTACCGTATTGTATTCTTCAAGGATCCTCATCACATCGGTTTTCTTCTGCTTCAGGCTGTAAACCTGAATGTCTTAGATGTCTGATCTATTGTTTTTACACAGTAACCGTATAAATTGAAGGGATATTCCGTAAACAAAAAGCCTTCGAGTTTTCCACCTACAGACTTTTACTTTTGCATATAAAAAAACGTATATGCAAAAGTAAAGTTTCTGTTGTTCAAATGTTGTTGTTTCCTTGACCACAAATCATTGGATAAAAGAGCTAATAGAGCACAAATAAAGTCAGTGGTCCAAACCAGAGGTGACAGTAACAAATTAAAAAAGGAAATATAAATAAATAAATAAAATAGTGAGATTTCTCTGTGCACTGACCAGTGGGCTGCCTCTGAGGATGCAGAGTGTGGATGTCCATAGGAAAGTGAAGCTTGTTGCGAATAATTGCCTGGTTCTTGCCGGTAAATTTGTTGGCGCTGTTGATGCTCTTGGTGTGCCAGTCAGTCCAGTAGAGGCTGTCCTCAAACACTGTGATGGCAAATGGGTGAGGGAGGCCTGTGATGGAAAATAAAAGGTTTAGAACAAACTGAATGTATATATTAAATGTTTGAAGTTAACTTCCTTTCTTTTAAAAGCAGATGATCCCTTAGAGGTTTAACCACCTCATAAACAGAAAAAGGGGAAGAAATGTTCCAAAAAAAATTATAAACATTTTCCCTTTTTTGAACTGCTCGTAATTGCCCCGTGCCTTTCAGGCTTGTAGCAACAACCTTTGTCTGCATTTGTCTGGACTTGTGCTGATAATTGTTAGTCTCAGTGTTTACAGCCCACAGTTGAACTCCAGCTCAGGTACCGTCTAAAGGAAAACTGCTTGCAGATTTGTCTCCTTTGAGAGCAGCTGCTTGCAGCAGCTTTCCTCAAATCTCCATTTAATTCTCCATCAGTGAAGCTGCTCCACAGTCAGTTGTGTCAAAGTGCTGAAAGCATGGAAAAAGTGATTTTTGCATAAAGCTGTGGTGGTAGGTGTGGGGATAGTATTTCTGGCACCGTGCTTATAAAAAGAGCAATGATTATTTTAATAACAGTTTTTCACAGCACTCTTTTAATAGTGAAAATATATACATATATATATGTATATATACATATTTCTTTAAAGTGGAAACGAATCAAAGTGATAACCTTCAACAATGTTCACATTGAGTACTTAAAGTTTAAATGCATTGAGACAAATGTTTTAATTACAGCTGGTAATGCTAAACACCGGAAGTGAAATACTAACACAGTAAAACTAAAGTAAGTGCCTCATAAAAAATATCAGAAATGCCTATGAAAAAATTAAAACGGTAAATGTTTAAGAATTTGTAGCAAAGACCTAACCAGAGATGTCGATGCATTCTGCAACAATATCTTTGTCCAGCAGAGGGCGGACGTTTAATAAAACGTTTTTTTTTTTTACTGTTAAAACTAAATGACTTATTTAAGATTATTTATATTCCCAAGTAAATATTTTGCAAAAGTGAAGCATAAATATTTTCTACTGTCTTATTCATTTGAAGTTTGACTTTTTTATGAAGGAACATTCACTGTCTGACCCAGCAGTTCCAATGAAGTTGGGACACTGTGCAAATGGTAAATAAATACGGTATAAAACGATTTGGAAAAAAAAAAAAATATATATATATATATATATATATATAGAACATGAAGTAGTTTAGTAAATGCATATTGTAAAGGACTGGAGAATACCTCATTTGAATTATGGTTTTATATGTTAAACGTTTAAAAACAAATATGTGATTAATATCAGAACAAACGTCAACAGAACACAGAGAAATGGTCTCCCATTCACACAGGTCCAGGTGGTTGAACTGTGTGTATTTATGATCCTATTCTAACATGAGGGAGACAATAGTTCACCCCCTTCCCCCTCTCTGAGTCATAAAAACCTTTTGAGTTGGTTTTGATATGGTCACCATCATCTTTGACATCACAGCACCCGCATCACACCCATCCCACTCCTTTTTATTCCCTGGGACAGCTGGGGGAACAGCTGCAGGCTGACGGGGCGTCAAACATCCCAAACAGTCTCCGCAGTTATGTCCCCTTTAACCTCCAAGTGGCACCTCCTGGTACTGCCCTGACGCTGCTGCATTATCTTTTGTCCTGGCATTATAATCAGCAGCACTGACGTGTTCTTTGTTATACTTCTTTACTGCAATTCATACTGACGCATCACCGTTATAATAACAAGTTCATAATAACTTAAAGTGTAAAAAATGAAACGTTGAAGTCTTTTTATCATTAGCAACGATCCATAAAAACAACACATTATTACACACAACCACGATGAAAAGCAAAGAAAGCCACATCAAATGGATTAGATTTACCTTCAGCTATGGGCGTTTTATTTCTGCTCCAATTAATGGGACTCTTAAATCACTCAGTATTTGTCTTTGGGGGTGTACTGGACAACCTTCTCTTCCTGTCCCACACCTCTATACACACACAGGTGTGTAGCCAGGATACTGGCCTCCACCGTAACAACTTGGCTTTACTCAGCTTCACTAACTTAAGAGCTGGCAGGCTTCCAGGTGGTGCACAAATGCACACATACACACAGACACACACAAACACAGAGGCACACAGAGGCTCACAGGCATTTGATATACACATTCCTGGGACCAGAAGCTAAAAATATAACCACACACAGAGGCACAAGTGCACACGCGCACACACCACTCCTTCAGCCCTATGTCTGTGTGTGTGTGTGTGTTGTCTGAGCAAACAGAATCTGTTGAGGAAGGACACGACCAATAACAGCCTTTTATCCTGAGAGCACACATTATTAAGGAGAGTACACCCTCCTCCTCCTCCCTAACCTCTCCTTTCCTCCTCACATATATACACATGCACGTCCAAACACGCATACACATAAACCTCGATATGCTGTTAGGTGAAACACAACTCTGATAGAAAAAAAACAAGAAGCAACTGAATCATTAATGTATGACTATGGCTTCTATGGTGTTTGTGTGTGTATGTGTGTGTGTATGTGCCATGATGCATGTGTTTCCTAATAGAAATATGGCATTGATTATCCACCGGAGTGCTCTCATAAATTAGCGTCGGTAAACTCTGTCCTCACACATACATCAACCCTGTTACATCTGTGTGTTTCTACTTTAAACGTAGGCCATAATTCACCGGTGTATGAGTGCAGGCCAGACACCTGCAGACTCCAACTACTCTGATACTTTAAAGCTCACACATGAAAGTTCTTAATGGAACCAGAGGGACTATTTTTAAGGCTTAAAAGACTTATAACCCAGGTTACGACATTCATTCACATAGTAGTTCACTGACTGATCACCGACTGGTGTCAACATCAGTCACTCCGACTGGGTCTAGAACCTTCAGCAACTGCCTTGACTGTGAAGACACCTATGGAGAAAGTTACCTAAGGAAAACATGATTTATAAATGTTTTAAAAATGTCAGAGTTAATCTGAGTAAAGGAGCTGAAGGAGAGAATTATAGAGTGAAAAACCTGCTGATACAATCAGTGGTGCTGCATGGGGTGGGGGGGGGGGGGGCGGGGGAGGTTAGGATGAATCCCTAGGGACCCTGACTGATAAGAGTTCAAAAAATATGAATTAATATAATATTACTATAAAATATAGCTTTGAGACATTTCTCAGTCTCAGTATCAGAATGAAGTCTGCACAGTGTGTAGATATATATTCATGTTCTTAAAGTGTGTTTCAAAGAGACCCATTGTCATATCATTCGATGGGGCCCAGAATTCCTGGCATTTAGAATAAACACGAGTATTTCAAGGTCATACAGAAATAGCATGATGAAGCAGGAGAGCAGGAACTTAAAAACCGTATGGTTCAATACAAAAACATGTTCTTCTGGTGGTTCTGAGCCGAAAAGCCAGAAAAGATACAACAGTTGGTGAGAGTTTACCTTGGCTAATGACAGCCTTGCGGTTGCGTCCATCCAGGTCGGCCTTCTCAATGACATGATGTTTGGCATCCACCCAGTACATGCGGCGGCTGGCGTAGTCAATTGTGAGGCCATTAGGCCAGAACAAGTGTGTGTCTGCGATGACCCGGCGGTTGGAGCCGTCCATGTTGGCGTACTCGATGCGAGGCGTGTTGCCCCAGTCTGTCCAGTAAATTTTACTAAAGGAGGGAAAGTCATTGTTAACATTCTGGATCATCTTTCCAGGGGCTGCAGCTATTTTAGAAGAATGAACGTGCAATAAAGACAAGAGGGAACTGAAATTTTGGTCTGAATTCAAACAAGTCTTGTGATATCTATGTCTTTCTCATTATTAGTCACCGGTTCTGACTGGCCTCACGAGGAAGAGCTTGCTTTCTAAATATATAAGCCAATTATCACATGCAAATGAACTTACTAAAAAAAAGTGAACAACTCAGAGCTTTGTTTTTCCCCAGGGCTTCATCTAAACCCAAAATATGAAAACAGGAATAAACAGACTGCTCCGTAGACGTGTGCCCGTGGGTACGACTGTGCTGCCAAACTATAATCCCTGCTCCACTGCTGCACAACAACTGGTGCACATCCAGAAGGAGGGATGTGTGCAATTAAGGGCATCTCTGTTTAAAGTGTTGTGTGTTTAGTCTCATACCCCTCTATGGGGTGCAGGGCAATGGCCCTTGGTTTCTCCAGGTTCTGCCACAGCAGCACTTTGCGTTGCGAACCATCAAGGTTGGCGACTTCGATACGAGACGTTCCCGAGTCGGTCCAGTATAATTTATCATGTATCCAGTCAATAGCCAGTCCACCTAAAACAGAGACAAGAATCAGAAAACTGTTATTTTGTTTGTTCAATTTTTTTTCTTTTAAATAAAACATTAGCTCTGCACACAGTTATTTTGGGTTTCTATAAAAATGCTATTTGTGAATTGCAGCACTATTTTAAAGGCACTTAAAAGCAGCTAAAAATGTACAAAGAAAAAAAGTAGTAAACAGGAAAAAACATGCAGGAAGTGAACAAAATGAAAATCACAAAAAAAGGGATCAAAAGTGTGAGACAACGTAACTGACAAGACACTGAAAAGCAGAAACAATTAAGAAAATAAACTGTGTAGTTTTGATGATGTATAGTTTAACTAATATACAATATTAACATGGTAATAGATGAAGTGACCCATTACAGATTATAGTAGGACAGAAAGCTGCAGGCTGAATTAAATTAAAAAAACTAAATTAGCTTGTTGGCCCACATTTATACATGCTGTACCCACCTGGGCTCTCCAGACCCGTGGAGACCACCTCCTCTACATTAGAGCCGTTGAGGTTGGCCCTCATAATGCGGTCCAGAGTCACATCGGACCAAAATACCAGCTCATGTCTGTGATGGAAGTCCAAGGCAATGGCGTTCTCCAGGTTGTTTAGTAGAAGGGTGTATTCTGAACGATGCGGCAAAACCTGACGAATGTCAATGCGGTTGGCGAAGAGCAGAACCGGCTCTGGACCTAAAAAAATGAAAAGGGATAGAAAAGCAGGAGCGAATGAATAAAGTGGAAAAGACTTCAGTGAGCAGCCTGAGTAAAATGAAAATTGAAAAACACCAATGAACGGGGGGTAAAAATGAGTCAAGACTGGTGGTCACTTCTGATGAAAGTCTGCATTTATCTCCATATCAGAGAGGTCCTGGTTGCTGGCAGGGGCTTGAATGACAGTCCTGACCTCAGTTTAACTCAGGTCTGCAGCAAATTTAGGGGCTGCTGTAGCAGGACCTGCACCCCACTCTCCCTCCACTGCATATCTAAATCTAGTCCAGACCCACTGAATGGGCCAACCTCGTCCTGAGTCCATTACTCTGCTGCACAGGATTGGATACAGTTACCGTTGAGGCAAGTATAAACACTCAGCAACCGTGCTTTTATTGGAGGTCAAACCCAAGTGACTCCCTGTGGTCACATGTCAAGGTTGAAACATAGTACAGTGGTTTTTACCAAGAGCTTTGCAGCTGCGCTTGTCAGGTCGGAGCTCGTAGCCCTGTACACACCAGCACTGGAACCCCCCCTCTGTGTTTGTGCAGCCCTGGCTACAGTAGCCTTCCTCAGCGCACTCGTCCACATCTGGGATCGC